CCCAGATGAATCGCGTCGGCCGGTTTCCACGAGTGGACGATCAATCATGTGCGAGCGACGTCGTGCTTTCGTCGAGCACTTTGCCGCGCTTGAAAAATGTAACACAACGTCGATCGTAAATAATCGTCGCGCCGATGGAACGGGGAAATACGCCGCGGCGGTACGGCAATCCGTGTTAACCGTGGCACACGGGGGTGTTGGTGTCGAGAAAGGGAAGTCAAATGGAAATTGCATTAAAGGACCGTCTCTCGATCGCGGCGGGAATCGATGGAGGGGGCGGTGCCCCACATATAAATATTCATTGAACGAATGTCAAATTGATTACCCCGACTATCGCGATTTACTTGTGTTTCGCCGGCGTATTTGCCGTCTCCCTCGACAATGCGAATATTTAAGGCTGCCAAAAGAGCACTGGGGACACACGTGCGCATATTCGGAGTATAGTTTTTATTATTGCTGTGTGTGTCTAATATAAATGTACAACTCGTCATACATATGATTTCTGCTTACGTAACTAAATAATATAATGTAATATAATATATATATAATGTAATGCAATATGTGTGACGTAATTTTATATAATATATCATATAATATATAACATATGTATGTATATATATGTGCATATATATACATTTGATGTATGCAGGGTGTCTCATTTTAAATAATCCACGCAAGTATCTTTCATATTTTTGAAGATATTTGCGTGGATCATTTAAAATGAGACACCCTGCATATGTATGTATATATACATGTATATATATGTTTGTATAACTCTAATAATTATCGCGCAAATCACTCGGCTTAGCAATTATTATTAATTGTAATTTTATATTTTGTAGTGCGCTATTTGTGTCCATTTTGTGGCATCCTCCTTTCGGTACCATCGCGATCAAATTGACGTGTGTACCGTTCCACTTATTGAAGTATATTGAATTATAAGTAATGATTGCAGCAATACTTCTTTTTATCAACTCGATTCATTAACTAAATGCGGAAATGTTCGGTAATGTGAACGCAACTTGCTGTAAAATGTGTTTATCTTTCATGGAAAGGTCGCGGGTTGAAAGCCGAGTGATCTGACGGCGATATTTTCTCACGATCTTGTTGCCGGCAGAAAGCTGATAGAACTCGTAACGATTGAAGAGTTATTATCGAGCGTTCCCTTCGCGATATAGTAAAATCTTAAACGCTAAGAAATCACCTATGAATCGTTACACTGTGAACGTCCAAGAGGTTCCGTGTGTTCTGTCAGCGCGCATCTGTGTGGCTCTCTTCTCTATCTCTAGAGAGTTTTCGAGGGAAACGAGACTCGAGCCGTTCGAGATGCGAGAGCTTATTTCGGGAAGGGAAGACACTCTGACGATCGCCAGCCAATTTCAGATAATCCGTAATCACCGGCACTCGCCGAAATATCTATCGTGTGAAACAGGTTCTCGCCTCGGGACTCCGATTAATTACAAACTTATTTAGTTAATTAAGGAACCGCGTTTCTGTGTACAGACTGAACTTGCCATGGATGCGGCTACAATGGCACAATGTGTCGCTCGCTGCAAAGTATTTTCGCATGAAGCCGCGGTGAAAATTTAATTCGTAGCTCTGAGAATATATCGCAGGAATAATAGTTGAGAGGGGGCGGTCCGCGGCTGATGGTGGTCGATCCTGGTTGCTACCTTACAGTTTATAAAAATATATAGACTAGGCTTAAGCAAAGATGTATCGGCGTTAAATAGATTCTCGATCAGCTAATGAGTTGAATTGCAACGACTTAAAGTCTCCCGATGTAACCCAGCGACGCGTACCTGACGTAATCCTCTCCCCCCCCCCCACCCCCCACCGAGGCGCCTAATCGCGCGTGGTTCGCGCAATTTCGCGATCGGAGCATTAATCGTCGTTGAGAAGGGCGATTATCGATCCTACGCTAATTATACTAAGTCGATGCGGGCCGGCGCTCCGTCAACGATTAATCTCGAACCGCAGCCGCCGACGGCTAACTCGATGCGCACCTCCAACAATAACAATCGACGTTTAGATCGGCCGACGTTCGAGACGAGAAATAGAATAGCTTTAACGGTTATCCTAGAGACTCTTGTGATCTAACTTTAGATAAATCGCCTGCCCCTAAATTGCGAGAACAGTTCGACCCCGTTCGCAGCGCGAATGTCCAGAAGACGCCTCGAGAGACACCGAGAACTGCGGGACGTAGTCCCATTATTCGAATAGCGAAACAGATTATTCATTATTCGTTATATATATATATACGCGAATAAAAATATTTAATATTCGTTTGCGCGACGAACAATGACTATTCATTACTCGCTACTCGTCTTATGCGGATTGTAGTTTAGATACTCTGCGACCGTCTCTCTGTCCGTCTGTCCTGTCTAATCTTTAAAATACGACGTCTTTCGGATGCTCGCGTTGCCGGGGTGCGATCGCTAAACCCTTTTCTCCTGCGAACAGACAACAGATTATACGCTACTCGTGATCGCCCTCGCTGCTTATCCGCTAAGATGAATCTCGCTACTTTTTAGGAAGTTTCTTTTTTCTTTTTTTCCTTTAGTTTCTTGCCTACCTGCTCGTGATCCATAATGTTGATGTAGGTACCGAGTGACGCAAGAGGAACAGAACGAGGTTCCCTTCTTCGTTTTCCGAAAAACGGAAGGACTGAGCCTCGTAAATGAAACTTGGAGCGCGTCGTCAATTTCAATGGGAGGACACGAATCGAGTGGGACAGGACGATTCGATGCTCGGTTACGAAGTGACTCTCTGACGGTGGATTAATTAAATAACGGGCTCTCGCCAATGCGAAAGTCGGGATACGATGTGGCGTCGTGTCCCTTCGCGCCACTCGGTGACGTAGATTATCCGCGCTTTAATTACAATTTATAAGGCTACTTAAAGCGGTTACATAATAATCGACAACTCCGCTTGCTCGCACTCGCCTAATCGGTCGTAACTACTATATGTATAGTCGGTGTGATGCACAGTAGTTCATAATAGTAATGATAATTAGTAGCAATAGTAGTAGTAATAATAATAATAATAATAGTAATAGTAATAATAACATCATTATTGTTAGCCTCACTGTTCCTCTGTTAAACGTTATCTGTATGTAGGTTATTCACGTTATTTATTTGTTCAATCCTCTTCTTTTCTTTTCCTTCTCTCTTTCTCTCCGTGTGTGTCTTACGGCTAGGAAGTGTCCGCCGAGCGGCAGAAGTAGCATTTTTGTGCTCGCGTCGTCGCTGCCGCCGGTTCCGTTGCTGCATCAGCTCCCGCAAGCGCTCGGTCTTTGATAACGATGTCGTTGACAACGATTATGGTCCAATGTATCGATACCGGTTTTCGCGCGAGGAACGTCGCCACGTCGCTTTCCTCCCGCACGAGCTGTCGATTTTCTCCCCCCCCCCTCCCTCT